ATTGACTGATATGGAACAAATGAAACAAAACTGTATTGTATATACGTATAACTGTTCATGCAGATGGACTTACCATGATGGGTTTCACCAAGCTTTCCTCTTGGGCTAGAATATCTTATTCTTCTTGCTAAATGGTATTTAAGAGCATAAAATACTTTTTATGAAAATGCTTTTCAAGGCTAAATTACATTGAAAGCCTTTTCTATAGCCCACATTGCTATTTAGGAGAGCATGTTATTTCTTTTTAATTTGCTCATTCATTCCTGAATAACTTTTCATAGGACTCTAGACACTGCAGCGTGACAGCTAAACCAAGGAGCATCGGATGCAATGGAATTGCTCTACAAGCAACCTTGCCAAAGGCCCTTTTTCACTGCACAAAGCTGGCTCCATCTTTGTATATTGAGAGAGCTAAATCAATGTTAAATGCTTGGCTCTTTTTACAGGACAATGACCAGGACCTAAGCTGTGTCCTTCCTTGTTTGATTGACACTTGAAACGTTGAGTCGGAATCAGCCAGAGGCACTGCTACAAGCTTGATGCCTCTGCTGGGGATAACAACTGGTGACATCTGCAGAAAGGCCGACAAAAGGCAGTTGAAAGCCGTGTTTGTTGCCTTCCCCTCTCAGATCTCGGCTCTTTCATGGAGATCCTTCCTTGCTTTAATATTATGATTCAGCACCTGGCTCTTTTGAACCTTGCTTTAGACTTCAAAAGACGAGGTGGTATTAACAAACATGAAACAAAAAAGTGGCAGTAGTTTGATTTACTCTTGTTGTCTTATCAAGGGGGGGGGGTGTCACCAGCTGCCACTTTCTGTCATCTTTGGAACCATTATCATTTCTCTAAAATCTAAAAGACTCCATTTAATAACAGCTTTGAATACAAGCGAGATCAGTAACATATATGGTTCTTGGATGGCGAGACCATCAAGTGAATAGAAAGATGTTGCCAAAAAGAAAAAAAGCATAAAACAAAGCAAAACCTAAGCAGATTTTTTTTCAAGAAGCTTGTAGTACTTTATGTGTATTGACCTTGATTTCAGCATTAAGCAAATCAAACCCAGTTGTATTTTCTTTGTATACGCACACGTGAGTTCTATTTTGCATTTTCCTTGAGACCTTTCTTTTTTGTTCTGTTGAGGACTAAACTGTTCCAAGGCAAAAGGGGAGGGGAGAAAAAGCTTTCAGACAGAAGTTAGCATAAATTATCAAGAAGTGAAGACTTGCATTCTCAGTGAAATGTAGGTCAAATATTCCAAATGGAAACTAGTTTCCTTGGAAAAGGGAAAATGCAAGCTACCTGAAACCAATCATTCATTTGGTACAGGGTGGCAATGGCTCAACAGAAAGATCAACTAAGATGATTAAAGACCTGGAGACAAAAACATATGAAAAATTGTTATGCTCACACCCATAATTCAATGCCCCCCATGCCCTGCCCCCTGCTCATGCATGCGTGACCACTCCACACTCCTCCCACTTTTGGCACACAATGGCAAAAAGGTTACCGGTTGGTTCAGTAGGCCCATTTTTCGCCCTCCCCAGGCTCCAGAGGCTTTCTTGGAGACTGGGAAGGGCGAAAACAGCCTTCCCCACTCCCCTGGGCCCATTTCCCGACTTCCAATGGGCCCAGAAGGCCCAAAAATCAGCTGGCTGGTGCATGCATGTGCACAGGAGCTGAGCTAAGGCAATGCTCACGTGCCCACAGATCTGGCTCCATGTGCCATCGTAGGTATAGGGTTTTCTTCTTCAGCAAGGGTTGGACTAGAAGACCTCCAAGGTACCTTCCAGCTCTACTGATTGATTGATTGAAAGGGCTATTTCCTAGATCTAAATGAAACTGAGATTTTTGCAAACAGACAGGTGCTTGATCACTGAACTAGGCTCAAAATAGGCACATTCTTATTGGAGCATAATCCATACCCATCCAGAGAAATTTCAGAAATGAAGAGGGACAATTAAGTGGCTTTATAAGAAAGGCAAGAACACCTTCAATACACTCTTATGAAAACACTTATGATTGTTTTTAATCAGAAAGATGCCTTAACTTCTTGAAACCTTGAAAAAACATGTCAAAGGTATGTACCAGAGATAGCCTTTTCAAAGTTGCTTTTAAAGTTGTTGTCAATCATTTAAGCTTACCGGTATTGTCCAGTGGGCTATTCTCATGTTTAATATTTTGTATTTTACTTTACTAAGTGTTTAGAGGAGATATGCTGCATATTTAATATATATTTATTCTGGGTTGTTGTATAATCAGCCAGATGTTTAGACTGGATTTGACATTTTTATCCATTTATTAAGTCCATGTAGTTAATCTTCACATGGTCAATTGTTGATCTTCCTTGCTCTTTTCTCTACCATTTCTGCTATTATTGCAAGTTCTTTCAATAAAGTCCCCCCCTCTTCTCCACTTCCTTTATCCAACCTGCATTCTTGTATTTCTTTGGATTACCCCTTAGCTGCCTTCAGAACTTGACTGTTTCTTCTTTGTCAGATCTTGACTGGTTCACTGCAGTCTCTCTTTTGATGGATTGTAGAAACGTTTCTTATATTGACTGAAACTGGAGATTTTACCTATAGTGACGCTAAGTTAGCATGCAATTCGAGTTTTGTATCTGTTGATCTTCTTGGCTATAGCTAATTTGGTACTTTATTATTTCCCATTCTTCCTTAATCTTTCCTGTTTCTAGGTGAGATTTCTTGATAGGTACCAATTACCATTGGTATTATCTTTGCTTTCTTTTATTACTATTGTTATGGTTGGTTGCAAAGTCAGACAAATGTTTATTTATTTATTTTATTTATTTTATTTTATTAAATTTTTATACCGCCCTTCTCCTGCTGGACTCAGGGCGGTGCACAGCCTAGAATAAAAAACATCCCAATACAAAATTTTAAATTTTAAAAGAATTAAACAAATTTTGGCCCAAAATTTAAAACCTCCCGACTAAAATCCATTTACAATTAAAAATATCTAAGGGGGGGGGGGTTACGCCAGCCCAGCTTGATGAAATAGAAAAGTTTTGAGGGCACGGTGAAAAGCATGGAGATCTGGTATCCTACATATCTCCGGGGGTAGGTCGTTCCAGAGGGCAGGTGCTGCCACAGAGAAGGCCCTCCCCCTGGGGGTCGCCAGCCGACATTGCCTGGCTGACGGCACCCTGAAGAGTCCCTCTCTGTAGGAGCGAACTGGCTGGTGGGAGGCTATTGGTGGCAGAAGGCAGTCCCGTAAGTACGCAGGCCCTATGCCATGGAGCGCTTTAAAGGTGGTAACCAACACCTTGAAGTGCACCTGGAAGACCACCGGAAGCCAATGCAGTTCACGCAGGAGGGGTGTCACATGGGAGCGCCCCATCACTCTCATAATCCCCCGTGCGGCCGCATTCTGCACCAGTTGGAGCCTCCGGGTGCTCCTCAAGGGGAGCCCCATGTAGAGAGCATTGCAGTAGTCCAGGCGGGAAGTGACGAGTGCCTGAGTGACGAGTGCGTAAGGAGTCCCGATCCAGAAAGGGACGCAACTGGCGAATCAGGCAAACCTGATAAAAAGTCCCCCTGGCCATGGCCGTCATATGCTCTTCTAAAGACAGCAGTGCATCCAGGAGGGACGCCCAAGTTGCAAGCCCTCTCCGTGGGGGCCACTAACTCACCCCCAATAGCCAGCAATGGCACCAGCTGGCTATATCGGGATGCCGGAAGCCACAGCCACTCGGTCTTGGAAGGGTTGAGTCAAAGCCCATCCAGACCCGCATGGCCTCTAGGCACTAGGACATCACTTCAAGGGCATCGTTGGGATGGCCTGGGGTGGAGATGTACAGCTGAGTATCATCAGCGTACTGATGGAACTCCACCCCAAAACCACGGATGATCTCGCCCAGTGGTTTCACATAAATGTTGAACAGAAGGGGGAGAGGACCGACCCCTGCGGCACTCTTTATACTGGATTAGGCATGTCTTTATTTTTAATCTATTTTTATTTTATTAAAAAAAAGTTAAAATAAAACACCAAAGGTTTTTTAAAGAAAAAACAAAACAAGACGAAACAAGCAAGGCATTACAAAGGAAAAAAGTGCACTGAAAAATTAACACTTATACACATATTATCCTCCCTGTTGAATACTGGTTAATATATTACAACAATATTAGTTTTCCCCCTTGTGAAACAGGCCCAAATGATTTTAAACTACTAAACTACTAATGCTATTTGCAAGTTAACCTGTCATCTATATACTATGTTAATGATAAAATAGCTAACAGGAAGAAGAAGAAGAAGAAGAAGAAGAAGAAGAAGAAGAAGAAGAAGAAGAAGAAGAAGAAGAAGAAGAAGAAGAAGAAGAAGAACAACAACAACAACAGCAACAACAACAACAGCAACAACAACAATAATAATAATAATAATAATAATAATAATAATAACAATAATAAGTGTCAACTTTGAACCGAACCTGGCAACAGCCATTTTCCTTTAAAATTCCAAAATCCTCTGTTAACAAACTGTTATTTTAACCAACTCATAGAAAATTTACCATGGCTTCTTAACTATCCCAAATCATCCCAAGAATTAACACTGATTGGTCCTCGATCAAATATCCATGTTTGTTTCTTAACACCTTTTCTTATCAATTGTTGTCTGATTAAATACAATAAGTCCAGTCTACAAAGCTAGTCTATCTTCCCCCCAAAAGATGAAATGACATTATTCCCCAGTTAAATGTGATAAACCCATTCCCAAATCTTCTTCAATTCACTTTAAAAAGACCACTTTATCACTTACCACTTAGACAGTTTTCTGTGTATAAGAGTGCAGACCTGAACTTCAGGGAGGCATATGGAGTAGACTCTATTATTTCTAATTCTATATTTCCATATTTTTCCCCAGCAAATCTACTCTTTCAAATCACATTCTTTTGGTGAGTTTAATGTATTTATAGTCACTTGCCTCTGAATGTTTTCCACAGCCTTTATGAGTTCATCAAATTTTTTATAAAAGCTTTCAGCTGAGAATTGCATGTTGCCAGTCTTCTTTTGTGTCAGCCTCCTTCCCTTGTCTGTAATCGGATACATTGTTGTTCTACATAGTATATAAAAGAGTTCTTCAAAGCTGAATAAGAAAAAAGACAAATGACCAGGGAAGATATTTTGATATTTCAATATCAAAAATTAAAAATTAAAATAAATTCTAAACTTTTTGCAAATTGATAAAACACAAAATCCCTGTACAGAATGTCCAATAAAAATGTAAATCAAGTAAAAGCACTTTCACTATCCAAAGACATGCCAAAAGTTATTCAAAACAACAAAAATCAAAGGAAGTAAAAAACCCCCCACACAATAAGAGCCCAGCAGGAAGTTAAAATTGGTCAACTTTTAAAGATTAAAAAGCAAAGTAAAACAGAGGATTCAAAAAGTGAAGGTAAAACCCATGCCTGCTTAAGAAAATGAATTATTATAGAAAATAATTTTTTACAGATTTTGAACATGTCTTAAAAGAGATGGCACATGTTGAATATAGCTTCCATATTTTAGTGTGAAAAATATTACTGAATTTTATTTATCCAAAATTTATAAACGTGTTAACTTTTCTGATCTTATGTGCAATCCTCAGCAATATAGTGCCAGTTCTGCTCTCAAAATATGACACCTACAAGTACTGTATTCATCTGAAAGATAAAAAAAGTTATAAAAAATAAATGGCTTTATTTCTATAAAAAAGAAGAAAGAAAGAAAATGGACTGCTGAGACGAAGATGTATGCCTAGTGACTTTCCAACCTCTCCCAGAGAGAACTGGGCATACATCAAAACTCACTTTCCCAGGTAAGTCCATAGTCATCCAAAAGCCATCTTGGGTCATTCCTAGGTGCTCCCATTCAAATCCAGGGAGCAGCACTGCCAGAGAACTAGCTTTGGCAGGAAAATCAACAGATCATCGGTAAGAGAGAAAAATTACCTTACCATTCAGCAGCCATCTTAGTGAGGAATTTGGCATTTCTAGCTATTTATCAAATCCTTCCGAAGGACCTGGAATAGGCAGATGTTATTATTACTGTATACACAATATTTAAAGTCATATTATGGTTCTTTAGCTAGGGTTGATGCCCTTTATATACATTACATTTTTCACAAGAATCTAGTATGTCTTAATGTATCAGCATAGTAAACACTACGTGCGGATCCAAGCACTATGGCTTTTTGTAATTGACAGATGGAAATTTTGTCAATGAGTAGATTTTCTAAGTCCAAATTTTTTGGTATGGCACTGGTTTATGCCAGTTTTTAAATTTTTGATTTTATTGATTCTGGGTTTTAAATTGGGAACTTTTCGATTTTGCAGATCTGGGATTTTAAATTGGAAATGCTGATGATTTAATTTATGTTAGTTTTTTCTTAACTTTTGTATTATATGTGTTTTAAGTTTGGCTGTCCACCGCCCTGAGTCCCCCTGGGCAGAAGGGCAGTATATAAATTGAATTAATAAATAAATTAATAAATGCCATAATTGTTCATTTCAGTTTTCAGATATTGATACTTTGTGATACACCAATTATTGGTCCTCAGTTCTATTATTCCCTAATACTACCGTATCAATTATCACACTATGATTATGATTGTTACGAATGCCATCCATTGGGACCCTAGAAAATTCCCTTCTCTGTCACAGTGTCTGCTTTTTGGAATGAGATGCTCTGAGACTGAACTGCCCCCACCCTGCTGGTGTTTCAACATGCCCTGAAGAAATGTTCTTTGCCCAAGTCTTTAGTGAGGATGACCACTACTACCACCACCAAACACACAAAGTTTTAAATTATTAAAGTCCCAGTTCTTATCCTTTAAAAATAAATATTCCTGAGTCTGGTAGCTGCTCTGGTTTTAAGAAAGTCTGAAATAAAGTTGGAATTGTATTAGATTCACATTTCCATGCAAATCTACCAAGTCTATATTCTCCCCAAACAATGACTTAACTAAAAATATCCTCTGGTATTTACACTTCTCCAAGTTTTTGTGAGGAAGTTGTTTCAGCCACATTGACCTATTAAGAGGAATTGCACAAAATGTGAACTTAAGGAAAAATGTGCATAAAAATATGTAAAACGCACACAAAACTGATACAGAAATGAAGAAAAATAAACTAAAATCAAGCATAATAAATGTTCTAATCATAAGATAGGATAGGACAGGGGTGTCAAACTCAATTGCATTGAGGGCCACATCAGGGTTGTGTTTGATCTCAGGGGGTCAGGGTGGGCATGGCCAGCTTGACATCACTCGTGTCGAGGACCCTCCCGAGCTCAGTTTTCACTGGCAGATGGTTGCAGGAAACCGTCACAGCCGAAAATGGAGCTCGGGAGCCCGTTTTTGCTGGCAGAAGCACTGTCGGCTGGTCCCTCACTGTTTCCAGGGTGGTCCCACAGGCCAGATCTAAGCACCCCACAGGTGGATCCAGCTCCCGGGCCTTGAGTTTGACACCCCTGAGATAGGATGTATTTTTTTTTTTAAAAAAAAACAATTTGAACAGTTCAAGCATTACTTGAATAAATAATGCTGATGTAAAAAGTTATCTATGGCTTGAGTCTGCAACCAATAACAAACTTTCTTAACTGCCTTCAAATTCCTAAAATTTAAACAATTGTGGGTGTTGATGGAATCTCTCTGAACCATTGGTAATTTTTCGCTTTCATTTCCTCATCTTCCCAAGAACCTTGAAGATTCCAGGCATCTGCTCTTCTTAATGCAATAAACTTAATTATTGACATCAGCCGTAACCTCAGTCGACATCCACGTTCATCAATGTTTTCCCAGTAGATTTCCTATATTAGTCGATTATTTTGGTCCATACTTTTCTACTCTGATTATATGATTTCCTAACAAGCAACAAGACAGTGAAGGAATTTGATTTTAAATGAATTGAAGTTGTGCATGTATTATGCCCTTTGTGATTTTGGCAGGTGTTCTGTGTACTCAGCTCAAGCTTTGGACTTTGTGATTGTGACACACCAGTTTGTACTTGGATATTGCACAAAATTGGTATCTCTGAGATGACTAGAGGGCAACTTTCTCTTAAATATTCTATTGCCAAGACTAAATTTCTGACTGTTTAGTTTGGAAGAAAAAAAATATCATCAAAGAATTGTATTATTTAGACCTAGAAATGAGGAGTCAGCAGAAGCCTGAAATCAATTAAAACAAGATATATTTCCAACAAACCAATGAAGTAATTCATATTTTTGTAGCATTAAGCTCAAATGTCTTTATACAAATAGATTTCTATTTAGAAAAGTGTTACCCTGAAACAAGAAAGATGATCAGATGGTCATCCAGGTCTTGCTGAACTACAGTTCCCAGAAGCTCTAGCAAGCATGGCAATAATGAGTTGAATTATTTGGGTGCTCTGGAAAAAGTTTGGACATGGAGTATGAGAGGAGTTATGTATTAAAAAGGAAGTTTTTTCAATTGCACATTCCCCATTTTCATGTTTCTGAATTGCAAAGGCAAACATGATATATTCAAGCAGGCCTCTCTATTCATATTAATTGCTGGACATTAAGGCATTAGACAACCAACTATCCTTTCTCCTATAACAATTCCTTGTGATTTTCCATCAGTATTTTTCTTAATTTCACATTTTTTCCTTAAAATGAATAGCTTCACCATTACATGTAATGGAATATCCATCAAATAAAGTTCCTGAATTGAATGGCAAAGTCAGATTAAATCTGATAATCAAATGGAATAACTTCTACTAAATTGAACAATTTGTATATTCTTGGGGATGGGTAGAAATGAGATTTTTCTACATTGATTCAAAATCTGATTCTGCACTGCAGCCTTAATTGCTTTTCTCCCTTGTGGCCTTGTTTGTTTCAAAATAACAGAATTGGAAGAGGTCTTCTAATCCAACCCCTTGAAATGGGCATACCATTTCAGACAATGACTGAATGACTGTCCATTCTCTTCTTAAAAACCTCCATTTATTGAGTACCCACAACTTCTGAAGTCAAGCTGTTCCACTGATCAAATATTCTAATTGTCAGGAAATTTCTCCTTATTTCTAGATTGGTTCTCTCCTTGATTAATTTCCATCCATTGCTTTTTGTCCTGCTTTCAGTTACTTTGGAAATAGGTTGACCCCATTTTCTTTGTGAAAGCCCCTAATATATTGGAACACTGCTGTCATGTCACCCCGCATCCTTCTTTTCATTAGAGTAGACATAATCCAATTCCAGCATTCATTTTTTCATATGCTTTAGCCCTCAGCCCCCTAATCATTTTTGTTGCTCTTCTCTGCACTCTTTCTAAAGTCTCAAAATCTTTTTTATATCATGGTGATTAAACCTGGATGCAATATTCCAAATGTGGTTCTTACCAAGGCATTTTAAAGTGGTACTAACACTTGAGGAGATATTGATTCTACCTTACTGTTCATGCAGCCCAGTGGTGGGTTTCAAATTTTTTTTCTGCTGGTTCTGTGGGTGTGGCTTGGTGGGCGTGGCATGCCTTGGTGGGCATGGCAGGGGAAGGATACTGTAAAGTCTCCATTGCCACCCCACTCCAGGGGAAGGATAATGTAAAATCTCCATTCCCATCACAATCCGGGGGAAAGTTACTGCAAAATCCCCATTTCCTCTCGATCAGCTGGGACTCGGGAGGCAGAGAATAGATGGGGGCGGGGCCAGTCAGAGTTCAGTTCTCCAAACTACTCAAAATTTCCACTACCGGTTCTCCAGAACTGGTCAGAACCTGCTGAAGCCCATCTCTGATGCAGCCTCTCCTAAGGGAGTTTCTGAAATTGCAGTCCATGTTGTAGCAGGTTGGTAGGGAGGCTTGGCTGGGGCTCAGCCTGAACTAGGGCCACCGCAAGAACTAATTGTCTGTTCCTCTACTTCTTTCCTTTCTCATCATGGAGAGAAAGCAAGCCAGGGTGAAATGCTCCTGGTTCGGATTGGATCGCTCGATCCGGTAGCGATGGCGGGTGGTGGTTCAGAGAACCAGTAGCAAAAATCCCTGCCCCCCCATGCCCAGCTGAGCCACGCGATTATCAGAGGCTGTTTTTTTTTTACTTTTAAAAGCATTTTTTCTACAACCTCTTAGGCCAAAGAGGTTGTAGGAAAAAAAATGCTTTTAAAAGCCTCTGACAATCCCAGCTGAGTTGCCTGATTGACAGAGGCTTTTAAAAGCATTTTTTTCTGCAACCACTTCGGCCAAAGAGGTTGTAGAAAAAATGCTTTTAAAAGTAAAAAAAAAACAGCCTCTGATGATCGCATGGCTCAGCTGGGATCGTCAGAGCCGTTTAAAAGCATTTTTCTACAACCTCTTCGGCCGAAGAGGTTGTAGGAAAAAAAATGCTTTTAAAAGCCTCTGACGATCCCAGCTGAGTTGCCTCTTTGGCCGAAGAGGTTGCAGAAAAAATGCTTTTAAAAGTAAAAAAAAAAAATGGCCACGCCTACCCAGTTACATTACCCACCACCACCAAGCCACGCCCACAGAACCGGTAGTAGCAAATTTTACATTTCACCACTGAGGCAAGCCCTCTTGGCTGGCTGCTGTGAGGACTGGCTTACTAGTTCCTGTTGTTTTCCTTTAAGGAGTGTTCTCATCTCCAGGTCTAGATGCCTTTACTTAATTTTCCTTAATGTTCACACAGTGGAGGCCTTCATTCCTCTCCTCCTGCTTTATCTCCTTTGACACTAACATAGACTTTCCTTTTTCTCCTTCTTGTGGTGCTGTTGTTCTGCCGCTGCAATAATCAAAGAAATAGGAAACAGGAACTTGTTCTATGGCTCTTTGGAGGAATGTAGGATCAACTCTGTAACAAGGAATAGCTGTTAGTTCAGCTTCATGGGGAAAACAACAATATTCCTACACTGCAACCTAAAAATGTTAAACAAAAGAATAAAAGGAATCTTTGCAGTTTTATGGGCAGGATGAGAAAGAAAGGTTACTGATGGAAAGGGTGATCACTGAAAGATATCAGGGTTGCATTTGGAGCATGGGCTTTTAGTGTTGAGGACAGTAGTTTGGCT